GTTACAGCCACATGGGTATCATATGGGGAAAGCCTGGAACAAAACAGGGAAAAATGGAAATGGTTAGGAGTGGTGAGATACTGAGTGATTTCTTTTTTCCAATGAGTAGTATTTTTACAATATGACATTAAAGACCAAAAAATATCACTGCCACTTCTAACACAACCCACTAATCTTCTTATGGCCCTCTGATGTGGCACTGGTGTAATTTTTCTCAGTGACACCCTCAGGAGGGTGACAATTCTGCCAGGGTTCTAGGGCTGGGAGGGCCCACATGGTAGCTGCGGGCTTGCCCCACCCTCTCGTGCTCTGGGCAAAGCTCTGAGGATGAATGAACAGATGAGCCACCTCCCTGTCTGGAGCAGATGTTCCATCACGCTGGGTGGTAGAATTACCTTTGTTCTGTAAATGGTCAACTCTGCCCTTCCCATGGGTAGGACCTCACAGGCATGGCCCGGGCCCACCTTTGTAGCCTGACACCCAGTAGGTACTTAATAAATGTTTATGAGACAAATAAAACGAGAGGGGGAAAGAATACCCATGTGGTAGCATTTTGAGAACCCAAGGTTCTCCCTGCTAACCCCGCAGAGTCTGACATTTTCACTGTTAGTAATCCTTCCGGTTACAATGATGTGCCTCCTCTCTACCACAAGACTCAATCATTTATTTATTCTACAAATATTTATTGAACACCCGTGTGCTAGGTACAGTTTTATATGCTGAGGTGGCAGCTGTGAACACAACAGTTGAAATCATACCCTCATGAAGTCCCCATGACAGGGTGGAGGATGAGGGAGGGGACAAACAAGGAATGTATTTGGATATTTGCATTAGAACACATTTTGTAGTACAGTCATGCTTTGCTTAATGACAGGAATACCTTTTGAAGAAGTGTCATTAGGTGATTTCCTCTCCACAATTACGCAAACCCAGACAGTATAGCCTAGGACACACCTAGTCTATATGGTGTATCCCATTGAGAAGACTGTTGTATATCTGGTCTGTTATTCCCAAAATGTCATTAAGTGACACATTACTATATACCCGTTGGTATGAGCTGCTAGAGAAGATGGTAAAACAGGACAGGCAGCTAAGGAATGAGAACATGTAAAAATTTGAGAGGATCAGGCGTTTCCATCCCCACCCCAGAGGTGATCCACATGGTGAGGCAGATTTCTCATGCCCCGCCCACTGCTCCCCTCAGCAGTGTACTTCCTCAATCTGCCTGTTCTGCTCCCCACCCTGCCTCTGACGAATCCTCTCACTACCCTTCACCTCTGGCCTGTACCCCAGTTCTGTATGCATAAACAAATCTTTTTTTAAAAAATAATATAATAGTTTATTTTTACATCATTTTGAGCATTTTTCCATCTCAGTTGTAATCCCTGTGGGCTTCCCATCACCAAATCACCCGTGTGCCATCACCATAGTCCAGTGCATTTCCCTCCCCCACTGTTTTTGATCCCATTCCCCACTCCACTCCCGTAAAATGTCTCTGGTATATAGCTGTTCATTATTATTGTTATTTTCTTGCCTGGTCCATTATACTCCTGCTATGAGTGAAACCATCTGGCATTTTTCCTTTTCTTTCTGGCTTATTTCACTAAGCATGATCTTTTCCAGCTCCATCCATGCTGCTGCAAAAGACATGTGTTTCTTTTTCATGGTTGCTGAGTAATATTCCATTGTGTATATGTACCACATCTTTTTAATCCAGTCATCCACTTTTAGGCATTTGGGCTATTTCCATGTCTTTCCAATTGTAAATAAAGCAGCAATAAACATGGGGGTGCAGGTATCTTTTTGAATCAGTGTTTTTGTGTCTTTTGGGTAGATACCTAGGAGTGTGATTGCTGGGTCGTAGGGAAGCTCCATGTTTAGCAGTTTGAGAAACCTCCAAACAGTTTTCCATAGTGGTTGTACTCGTTTGCATTCCCACCAGCAGTGCAGGAGAGTTCCTTTTTTTCCACATCCTCGCCAACATTAAACAAATAAATCTTAAAAAAAAAAATTTGAGCGGATCAACACAAAAATCACTGAGGAAGTGACCACTGAGTGAAGACCTAAAGGAGAAATGAAACAAGCCATGCAGATATTTAGGGAAAGAGAGTTCCAGAAAGTAACGGCACATTCAAAGGCCCTGAGGTAGGATATTTGACTTTCTTTTTAGTTTTTTCTCTTGAGCTGAATCAGAAGCACATTGAAGGTAGGAGTAATGTTTTGTATCTTTAATTAATATAATTTTGATGCCCTTCCACTATATTTCTTCTGTACCCTGAATATTGTGTCACTTGAAGATCTGTGTTGTTAAAAAAAGTTTTAATTGAACTTATGCTTCAAAAGGAGGTCACAAAGTATAGAACTGAACACAAAATAGAGCTTAGTAATTATTTTCTGTTTGAAGCTTTGATAAAGACACATGCAAACCACAAGCAAAACTTTTACTTTTTGAAAGTATACACCCCATAGCTTTCCTGAGGGTAGGGGGGGGCTGTTCATTATCATGTGGATTTAGGGTCTGCCCTTTGGTACTATTCAGACCAGATGTAACTGAGGTTCCTGTCACAGGACAGACCTCAGATTTCCAGTTATGAAATGACCTCACTTGTCATCTTTCCTGAGCCCCTGAGAACCCTTCAGCTAGAAGAGAGTAGAATTTGCATTTTTTTAAGGAAGCATTTCTAAAGTGTTCACATATGAAAACCCAGGGAGCATGTAAACAGGTGTCCTTGAAGTGTGGGGAATGGAAATGAATCGAATAACAAGAAATAGTTGACAGAATGCATCCCTCCTCAGTTAGCTGGCTCTCTTGATGTCTTTCTGCCCTCTCCTTCAGCTCAGGGCCTGCAGATGCTTACAAGAGATTACACCGCACTCAGCCAACCCTTTAGAAAATGCTTTTGTTTCCTGACTAGCTGAAGAGCATGTTATATAGCATATCCAGTTTCATCGCCATAGAAAAATTGTCAGAAAGAAAGGAAAGCAAAGAAAGGAAAGCAATGATGAGCATTTTAAAATAATGTAATTGAAATGTTTGTGTTTGAGGTACATTTCTGTTCCTTTTCACAAGATCTAATCAATTGAGGTGATGAGGTTTCTTTTCTGCAGATCCAAAAGGGCCAGGGACACACACAGCTAGAGGGGGACAGCCTGGAGGCAGGACGAGTGAGGCAAGGAGGGTGGCCAGCCAGGAGCTAGGAACTGAAGGGACTCGCTATTGTGCCAGAAATCAGTGGAAAGGTTTGCTGCAGATGGATATGCTTGATACCAGCCAAGGGTCAGAGGAGTGATAGGGAGCACGCATTTGACGAATGCCTCTAGGCTTTCGTCCTAGAGGCATTGAGGAGAAATTTGGTAGGAGACTCACAGCTCCAGGGAGAGCATTGACAATGCATGCTCTCCTGCTTCCACTTGGTCAGGGACAGGGCTCCAGAGAGTTGATATTTTTCAAAGCATGGCTTAGAACAATTTATATACCTCACGAACTGAGGCTTGGTCATCCCCGATAAATGACTATGGTTGAAATTCCACATGGATACAAAAAAAAACCCTTAAAAATGTATCCCTCAGGGCCCTCCCTGGTGGCGCAGCAGGTTAAAGCACAGCACAACGAAGCTTAAGCCATTTCTGCATGAGTTCGATTCCTGCCTGCCCCGGAGGTGACCACATGGCATGGCAGACCTCTCCTGACCCTCCCGCTGCTCCCCTCAGCAGTGTGCTTCATCGATCTGCCTGTTCAGCTCCCCACTCTGTCTCTGGTGAATCCTCTCATCCTCCACATCTTTGGCCTGTACCCCAGTTCTGTACTAATAAATAAATAAATCTTAAAAAAAAAAATGTATCTCCCCCCCCCCAGAGAGAAGTGCACTGGACTATGGTGATGGCACACGGGTGACTTGGTGATGGGAAGCCCACAGGGATTACAATTGAGATAAAAAAAAAAAGTACAAAATGATGTAAAAATACACTATTATATTATAAAAAAAAAAAGTCCCTCCCCCCCACCCTCGCTCTGATAATTGGAGTATTGCTAACAAGACCCACCAAGAGCAATCTTTGGATTTTTTATTCTTCATGCTCTGCCTACCTCAGGACCCCTGTTCTGGAGTCCTCCACCCGCATACACACTTCCTTTCACTTCTGTGCTGTATTTCCTCCAAACTGCCTCCTGCCTTCCCCTTGAGCCCAGGTATCATCTCAAACAATCTATTAAAGAGAAGCTAATTTTCTTTCTCATTCTATTATGTTGATTGAGCCCTATTTTTATGGGAAAAACCAATATTACATGGACTGTGGGCTAAAGGCTACTTCAGCAAGCCTCCGTGGTTCAGCCTCTGCATCACAGCCCAGATGGCCGTGACTACCTTAATTGCAGGCATTGTGCCAGAGGGAATTAAGTCTTCCAAATAGTCCATAGTTGTTAAGCAGGGAAATGTCACTATGACCTCTCTCAGTGCTTTTTAAACTCAGGCTTTCTTTTTCTTTTCTTTCCTTTTCTTTTTTGAAATGTTTTTTTTTTTTTTAAGACACAGTCACATGGAGCAAGACTTTAAATGTTCAAAAGATGAAAATACTCCCTCTCACTTGTTCCTCCGAACTAAATTCCATCCTCAAGACAACTGATGTACCTATGTCTTGCACACACATTTTATACCAGTGCAAAACCACACAGAGCAGCCCACATTATAGTAATTTCTCTTTCCTTAATACTTGGCCATGACTTCCCCTGTGTCTGTCTCTGGCTGGTCAGTGACTTCTATCACATGATAGCCCAGTCATAATTTTTGAATTGACTTTCAGGTGAAAAAAATCTGAATAAGCATTAGTGCCTTTGCCTGGAGAGTAAGTAAACAACTTTATGTGATTAGGGCTCTGTCAGCATGTTGTGTCACACTACTGTTAATTTAAACCACATCTTGAATAAGGTCCCTTAAGGTCATACCAGGGAAACTCCAAAAATGATCTGTCTTCTGAGGTTCTGGCATTTTCTCTTGTTTCAGAAACTAGAATGAATCGGAGCATTCCTGTGGAGGTTGATGAGTCAGAACCATACCCAAGTCAGTTACCAAACCCAGAACATTGCCTGGAAGTGGAATCAGAGCCACCTGCTCCAAATATAAGGAACATGGCACCCAGAAGCACATCTGTACTCCAAGCTTCTCACTATTCCCCAGGAGACTTTTCTCAGGCTCATCCACCCCTGAGACTTTCAAACCACCAGCAGCCTGTGTCCCAGCAGGTCATCTGTCTGCGCACTAAAGTCCAGGAGGAGAGTGAAGATAGCTTCTGGAGGAGATACCCAGACCCTGGCAAACATTTTCCCTCGAGCTTTTCCGCAGCCAGTGAGCCTGAGCCTGTGCTTGGAGCCCTCCCCCAGGAACATCAGTTTTCATTTATGGAAAAACATAGTCAATGGCTGGGATCTCAGATTTCAGCAGCTTCTCCTGACACTGGCCATGATTCAGACAAATCAGACCAAAGTTTACGTAATGCCTCAGAAGACTGCTCAGGCCAAGACCAAGAAACTGTGCAACGGCCCCCGCCCCACAGAAACCGAGCAGCCCCCGATCTGCCCACGATCGACACGGGTTACGACTCCCAGCCACAGGACATCCTGGGCATCAGGCAACTGGAAAGGCCCCTGACCCTCACCTCCATGTGCTTCCCTCAGGATCTGCCCAGACCACTCCTGTCCAGGGAGTTCCATCAGCTTGACCCTCAGAGGTTTCCAGCCCAGGTGCTGTCTCCCAACACTCCGCCCCACGCTCAGTGGAACTACCGTCACCATTGTCCTGAGGGTCCCGATCACCAGGTGCCATGTAAGTGAGCTCTCCCTCCTCTGGACCTTTGGGCTGGGTCACCAAGGAAACAAGGGCCTCACATCCCTGCTGTGCAGGAGCCCAGCACAGACAGGTCAGAATGCTGGGAAGCCACCCTGCTCCCCTTAGGGGCTTTCCATGTGGGTAGATTTGCAAAGAGTTTAAGGAGAGTATTTTATCTTAGCCCCAAACCTGACCTACATAGAACATGTTTCTCTAGAAGCTTCTCAGGGCCAAACATATTCCTGTTTTGATTCTTTATACTGAAAGCTGTCTAGAGTCAGAGAGCTGACTAGCTTCTAAAAAATGTGCTTTTGGGCCAAGCCCTTAGGTAGCTGGATTTTGCCCTCTCTGGATACTTCTGCCCCATATTGACTTTGCAGAGAAAGGGAACTTAAGTCAAAAAAAAAAAAAAAATCAGAAGGTGTTGCAATTCTGGATTCATTCAATTAAACAAAGATCAGCTTGTTCCGATGACTCCATTGCTGACATCCTTTGGAGGCTTGAGCCCGCCACACATCCCCTGTGTGCCAGCCATGCGCACATTGCTAAGGTCCTCTCTTGCTTAGCGTTTTCACTTTCCATGGATTTGCCCATACTCTTAAACTATCAAGGATATTTTTTCTCCTTGTGAGTTTCATCCAGTTTCATGTCTTTATTTTTTCTAAGAGTTTGAGATTATTTACGAACTGTCAAGTTCATCCTTTTCTAGTTTTACATATACAATTCAAATAATCAATTACATTTACATAATTATACAACCATTACAATAGACGCCATTTAAGACTTAACTCAAGGGCAGGAGGGGGCAAAAAAAGAAGAAAAAGACAACTCAAGCATTCCTTTGAAAGCTTCTCTAGCTCAGTCCCTGTGTTTCCTTGTGTTCTGTTTGTCAGACCCCTTAGTAACCAGCATGACTTCTCCTTATGGACTTGTCTACTTCTCCTTCCTTCCAAACGGAAAGCTTTTGCAAATCAGCAAAGGTGTATTTGCAATCCATAATTCTCTAGCATTTAGCACAGTGCCCAGCATGAAACAGGCTCAATAATTTCTTTCTGAATGAGAAATGAATTAATAATATGTATTAATGCAATAAACATCTCTAAAAGTGATAAAATCTCAGATTGAGATAAAAGATTCATCACAAGTCTTGATGTTAAGTCTTTGCTGAGGCTGAATAATCATGATAGGGTTTTATAGATAAAACACAGGGCTATCAGCTTGTGTTTTTCTTTAAAAATGAACACTGTATAAAAAGCAGTTCAAATGTTCTGAGTAAAGCTTCTGACTAAAGGTTGGATGCCAAAGCTTTAAAATAATTTCTAAAAATAAACACAAATGTTATAATTAATCACAATGTATGTTTGTACATGCATATTTAGCATAAAGTTGCCCCAACTGAATGAAGCAATTCATAATTTTTAAAATGCATAATTACAAAAGAAGATGAAGAAAAGAGATTTAATTTAGAAGATGCCTGAAAGAAACAGTGTAATAAATGTAAGGGTAAGAGGGAGGCTAGAGCCCACGAGGCCTAAAACCTGGGACCAAAGGTGTTAGGAGGCGGAAGTCCACTGTGTGGGGGTGCAGGGGCCAAGATCTGCTCAGAGGGCCGGGTAACGTGGGTGTGGCTGCAGCGTTCCTGAACAGTGAATCACTGAGAACTGAACCTTGGCAGGTCAGGGTTGTGTTTATTAATCAATGATTTCCAGGTTGAAAAAGAATAATTTTATGAGAATAATAAGATAAATTACTTTTTACCAGTCAACTCTGCCTTGAAAAATAAGTTTTCTGATCATGATATTTGTTTGCTCTCAAATTTGAAACACGCCTCCAAAGTTCAATTTGTTTATCCATCACCCAAATATAATTCCTTATTGGGGTTTTGACATATTTACTTCTGTTTTTTCCACTACATGTATATGTTAGGTAAAATTAAAACAATTTCTGGTAATACCCAGCTTGCTTCTTGCAGCATCCCTTAAAAATGCCACATAGTATTCCATCCAATGGCTCTCTACCAAGTTATTCTTTATAACTATTCTCTATTGTACATTTTAAGTTGTTTCCAGTTTCTTATCGAATAAGAAAAGACATGACAAAAGTCATGTACATGTGTCTTTGTCTGCATTTCTGGTTAACTTGGCAGACTAATGTGTAGAAGTGAGAATACTTAGTCCAGGGCTGCTCAGTACTAAGTCCCAAGTAGTGACCAACAGAAAAAGTCTCACAGCAAAGACAAAGAAAGCATTGATGTACTGTAATTTTGAGGGTCCAGAGAGAGCATCCTATTTAAGAATAGTTTTCTGTTGAAGCCTGAAATGGTACCGTTAGCAATCTAGTGGAAGGAGATAAGCTTTGTCCCCTCTGGGCAGATTCTTTGAATGCAAACACTCACAAATGGGAACACTTTTAGTCTTTGATACATCAGGACCTGCTCTCTTTCATCAGACCCCCTTCCCTTGCTCTAGAATAGAATAATTCCTTCTGTTGACATTGGGGAAGAAAAGGGTACTTGGATCCTGGGAGCTAAGAAAAATGCTGAAAGGCAGAGAGGAGAAGCCTTGGACAAGGGAGGAGAATAATTCATAGGAGATATACAAATAGCCAGGAAGCATATGAAACCAAGCCTAATGTTACTAAATTTAAGAAGCGCAAAAATTCTCAAGGATAACTTTTTCCTAATTAGGTGTGCTAAAATAAAAACCTCAGACAGCATTCAGTGTGAGTGGAATTATGGGGAAATGAACACTCCCATCTACTCTTGTGTAAACTGGGACAATCTTTGGGAAGACAATTTCACTCTTTGTTAAAATTTTAAATATGCTTTTTCTGTGGCCGAGGAGCTCACTTGTAGGAATTATTCTATAGAAACATTAAATAAGCATATAAAATCACCTAAGTAAGGAAGCCTTGTTGTGTTAGAGTAAAGATGATCATCACTAAGAAAAAACTGTCAATAAGGGGAAAGATTAGTAATTTCTGGTTTATGTACCCATTTATGGACTACTGGGCCTCGTTTACATAGGATAAAGCACACATTCTGATATTTTAAAAAGACTTAAATAGAAAAGCAAGATACAGCATTGATCCCACATGTATTATTTTAAAAACTGTATATATTTTTTAAAAGTCTAGAAGGGTCATGTTTATTGCTGTTTCATTTACAATTGGAAAAACATGGAAGCAGCCCAAATGCC